ATGCTAGTGTTTGCCAGTTGTTCAATCACAGGGAAGTGTAAGACAGTAACATGCATACAGGCACTGGTAATGTGAAAGATGCTCTCCCAGTTCACAATACAAACTGGCCAAACTTCCCTGGAGGACAATTTAGTAGCACTTATCAAACATAGAAAAAAATCCAAAATTATCAACTTTTTGTCCCTTTTATTTCATTCCTAAAAATTTATCCTGAAAAAATAATCTAAAACTTGAAAAGTGTTTATAATAATCTTCATGGAAAAACACTGGTTAAACGATTATCCTGTACCAGGCATAAAAAGGAGACAGTCACCTAAGAAGTTTGCTAAGAGTTTTAGCAACATGAAGCATGCTATAACAACATTTAATTGGGGGAAGGATACAAAAGAGTGCAGATAATATGTAATCAAAAATAGTTTTACACTACATAGAATTTTTTTTTTATTTTTGTGTATCTTAACTCTATCTTTTCATTTTCTCCCACTGTAAATCTACTAATTTTATAACTAAAATGAAAAATAAGATTCTCATTTAGTTTCAGAATGGCCTTAAAAATTCCCCCATCATGGGCAGGACAACATTTCCCAGAGAAGGGACTACTGTCAAGAAAATACCCAAGATTCAGAAGTGGCCAAAGAGGGCCAGGGATTTGGCTCAGTAGTACTGTGCCTGGCTGGCAACCACAAGGTCCTGAGTTCGTTCCCCAGTACCAAAAAAAAAAAGAAGTGGCCAAAGAGATGACTGAGTATCTTCTCCAGGGAGTGCTCTCTACGGTTTAGCAGACCATGCAGATTCGATCTTTGACATTTTGTTTTCAGTTAAGCTGATGGTCTTAAGGAGTGCGTTCTGCATGTCTTAGAGAGTCACAGACTTTTTCAGCATGTTTGTGAGTTCAAAACTAATTTCATAATAACATTAAGATGTTATTTCATTCTCTCAGATGCTGCAGTACTCATGATGAAATCATCACTTGGATGACAAAACAGCTTTCATTATTTATAGTATCTAAATGAATAAGTGAATAGTTTTAAGGTTTGTCAATTCTGATTTCTGATATGATAACATATATTACACAAACAAATCTCTTTGAGGTCTTCAATTTTTGTAGAGTCAAAAATTCTTGAAACTGACAAGTTTGAGAACCTGCCGGACCAATCTATTTCATAGCTCTATAGGGATAGGGATAACTGGTAAAAAGTACAGTTAACAAAGCCAGTGAATTTTGTCTGCTAATGATCCAGCTGCTTTGCACACCTAACATATACACAGCATTTAATGGCCCTTTAGGATATTAACCAGTTTTGTATATACCAGCATTTCTGATTTATTTCAGCACTTCTGACTGTGGATAGATGACAGAAAGATAGATAAATAAACAGGCAGACATATATACATATCTGTTCTTCAAAATCTCCTGTGAATTGGTCCTAACATTTTCCTGGTTCCCTCATTAATCAGTGAGTTAATAAAAGTTGTTGGCATGTACTTATTTCACAATTCTGAGAATTTTATTTTTCAACTCTGAAAATTATTCTTTAGCATCTAACTACAAATAGATCAGATTCTGCCTATAAGCCATAACACTAATAAAAATGAAGCTAAGGGTCTAATTAATCAAATTATATTTTAAAACAAAGGTGAGCTATGACAAATGAGTATTACCAAGTCAACCAAACAAACCCAGTCAAGATTTTACTTTCACTGTTAAGTCTACTATTTCACCTTAAATACAACTGAAAATAACAGAAACTGAACTGCCAAAAAATTTAGGATATGAGACTTGATTTCCTACGTAGCCACTCCTTCACTTATGATAAAGTTATGTCCCAATAAACCCTTGGTAAGCTGAGAATAATGTAAGCTAAAATTTATTCACTAAAATTAACCTACCCAACACCATAGATCAGCAACACAGCACAACATAAGTGTAGCTTGTTCCCCCCCTCAGGATCATGCGACTCACTGCTGCTACCCAGCAATACCACAATATTACACCACAGATTGCTAGCTTGGGAAAAGACCAAAATTCTAAATTCAAAGTTCAGTTTCTACTGAATGTAAATTGCTTTTGCACTTCCATAAAGCCAGAAGATTCTAAGTGGAATCATCATCAGGTCAGGGATCCATATTTCCTGCCAGCCTTCCCCTCCAAGTAGTTTGATCCTAATGAGCTCCTGCAAGGAACACCTTGTATTCTACAAACTCAAATCTTCTCTCCCATTTACTTATAAATATTTATTGGAGTAAGAGTGAAATAAGTGTGTCTTAGTTTCTTTTCTCCTTGCTGAGACAAAATACCTGACACCCAAAGTTAAAGGAGGAAAGGCTTATTTTAATTCAGTCTGTAGAGGTTTCAGTCCACAGGTGGCAGGCTCCAAGGCAGAGTGGCATCACAGAGGACAAAGTCCATGGCAGGCAGAAGGCAGCAAGCAGCAAGCGACAAGCGACAGGTAACAAAACTCTTTCTGTCCCTCATATTTTATCCAGGCTATATACCCTTAGGGTGGGTAGCACTCACACCCAGGGTGGGGCACCCTTAATCCTAGCATCATACTGTGAATCAATCCTAGCATCACATCCTTAATCCCAGCATTACATATCCTAGATCCAGCTACCTCTGAAAAGCCCCACCTATGACCACATGAGGTTTAGGGGGACATCTAGACACAAGTCATAACAAAGTATAAGTATCCAATTTTATAGTTAAAATACCTGAACCACGGAAAGACAACGTGAATCGCCCAATCTTACACTGAAGAGAAGTTGGAGAGAATCTCTTTAGGTTCTCCATTTCCACACAATATAGACACTTTCTGGTTAAAAGCAAGTCTCAGGACTTCTGTGTTAGGACATCTGTCTGTCTGTCTGTCTCTCTCTCTCTCTTCCTCCTCATCTCCCACAAACCAGCCCTTGCAACTATGTGCATAGATGCACATTCTCATACTGAAACACTGCCAAATTAGATTAGTCTGAGGTATTTTTCTTTTGAATTATTAAGCTAGGCGTGGTGGCACACACTTGTATGGGAAACTCAAAAGGCCAGCTTGGGCTGCATATCAAAACCCTGTCTCAAAAAACAAACAAATGTGGAGAGATGACATTTTTATATGGTGATAAAACATTTTCTAAAGTCTATAATGTTTTCATTAAAGGCCCTGCTGTTAAGTATTCCTAATTATATATAAAACATTATCTATGTATTAAACGTAAGTTCAACTATTCACAAAGTAACTTTTCCAAAGTGAGACCAGATCCAGCTATTGTTTACACACTGTCCAACCCACTGGTTTACACGTTTTCTATGGCACTTCGGCACTGTAAGGGCAGGATAAACAGCCAGGACAGCATGGTGAGCAGGGGTGCAATACTTACTAGCTGGTCCTCTCCAGAAAAGTATGCTGTCTTCCTTTCTAACTTACCGTGTCCTCACTTATCTCAACCAATGGGTATCTTTTCTTCCAAAATGAAATTTAAATCAGATAACTTATTTTATTTTCTTTCAGTGACAACTATATAAAATTATTCTTTTAAAACAATACAAATGTTTTTTAAAAGTAGCATATTCCTAGGATACAGATTTAAAATATCTATCATGTTCTTGGAGGACAAAGCTCATGTTTTTGCAGAACCTACAGATATAAAATATTGTAACTAACAAAATCCCACTGTAAAAAAGCAATTATTTCATAATTTCAATTTTTTTTTTTGGTACCGGGGATCGAACTCAGGACCTTGAGCTTTCGAGGCAGGCTCTGGAACCACTTAGCTAAATATATATATGATATCTATAGCTTGTTGTAAGATAATCCAAGAATTGAGGGTAGAGACAAAAGAGTAACCATGAATCAACAAGTGGTATAAGCTGTGGGGACATGAAGGATTCTTAGTCTCGCTGTATTAGTCTCCCTACTGTGTATAGGAACTGCTAAACAATAAAACATTTTTTTTCAACCATTTTCACACTACTTAAAAGAAAAGTAACAAAAGGAAGCTATAAGGCTGAAGGTGAGGCAGAAGGGGAAGGCAGAAGGAGGCCAGAAGTACATCTGTGAGGTTCCATCCCTTTGGATGATATTTTAATTTTGTGTTTTCATTTTAATAACCACCAAGAGAACACAGGCATCACTTGTGCTACTAGGGTTGAGAGGCAAAACTTTAAATGAAGCCCATTGCCCTTGCCCTCATGATGGAAGTTGGTGGAAGCTGTGACCATGATTAGCTATCACTCCAATGATTATGTTATTTATATTCAAAGCAAGATCCTCCTAGGTGGGCCTGACCTAATCAGGTAAGCCTTTCATCTCAGCTTTTTCTCTGGCTGTTGCAGAAAAGACAGATGTGTTCATGCAGGTGAGGAAGAAAGCAAACACCCTCACTGAGAACTGCTAAAGTAGGTGCACATGGCATGAAATGCAGGTGGTCTCTAGGAGCTAAAAGTAGTCTTTAGTTCTAGAGTCATGAGGAAATACATTCTGACAACAACTAGCAAGCTTAAAAGAAGCCTCTAAACCCCCATTAAGAAGCACAGCCTTGAGGGCCGGGGATTTAGCTCAGTGGTGCTGTGCCTGCCTCACAAGCACAAGGTCCTAAGTTCGATCCCTGGTACTGGGGAGGAAAAAAAAAAAAAAAGCAGCACAGCCTTGGGTCCTGACACCTGGATTCCAGCTTGCTGAAACAAGAGCAAAGAATGTGGCCTGCCCAGAATCCCGCCTGCTGGTGTTTTGAGTTTGTGCTAAGTCATGTGCAGCCATAGAGCCAATACAACTGGGTGACATCTGGTGAATGAACATCTCTGCAGTATCTCAAGGCCTACCTGTGCTCACGGTTTGTGATTCCACCAGCACAAAGGAAGCATTGAAATACCCAGCAATTTAGCTTTTAATGCAGTGTTTCTCAGATGACCATGCATCCAAATTTGAGAACTTCTGAGCTCAACATAGTCCCTGATAAATGAAACATTTTTTATCCACACATACAGTTTTATAGTCAAGAGTTCATACCTGAATGCTTTTCATAGTGCGACAGTTTCTACAGCAGAAAAGTCCTGCAAAATAAGCAAATGGAACATGTTTACAGCAAATTGTGTCTCAGCCAAATGCATTACCAACATCATAGATTATCATCACAGCAGGTATAAAACAGAACAAAGCCTTTCATCCTCTAACACCCAAGCTCATGATTAGAGGCATGAGAAAAATACAAGCCAGATCCCACTAGAACAAAATTTCTTGATAACAAAGTTTTCCATATTTTAGGTGATTTATAAATATTAAGAAACTATTACTATTTTTAATAAAGTCACTATTTTAATTTAATGAAGTTACTATTGCTGTAACCATCATTTGTCCATGTTATACATTTGTTTAGAGGAAAAACTGAGACGTTTTTGTCTGTTATACATCTGTTTGCAGGAAAAAGTGAGGTGTACACATAGATAACAAATGGAAATGTAATATGTCTCAGGTCTAAAAAATCTGTTTCTACAATTCTACTTAGTCTGCTTCTTTTTAGTGTTTTTATAATAGATTTTTGAGATACAATTTACATATAAAATTCATCCATATAAAATGTTCAGATCAGTGGTTCTTAGCATATTCATAAATTGTATAACCATTACTACTGCTTCCAGAATAAACCTTGTATCTCTTTTTTTTAACTATTTCACTTTTTTTCTTTAATATTATGTCATGCTAACAAATTTCTCTAGTACTAGAAAACCTTGGCAGTCTGAGACTCAAAAATCAGCATTTCAGAAGAAAAGAAGTGAAGGTAGACTATTTAACCATAAGTATAACACATATTGAAAAAACTAGATTGGTGTGTAGAGTGCATTATCCTATTACTGGTACTGTAAACCTTGCTTTGAAAAGACTGAGATGTTCCAAACAAGCAAAATATGAAGAAACCACTTGCATTGAAAGCAAAGAGCCTCGCATTGCGACGAGGTAATCTGTTTACTTCAGACAATGAAAACAGTGGATGATCTGCCCTTTAACTATATAGAACAAGACTCCTGTAGTCCAAAGTAAAAATGAGGGACAATTCTCTAAGAACATAAAACAGCATTCTGAAATACCTACACCTAACACTAAAACTATGTTTTATAAAATGAACAAATGAATGGTGTTTTAAGGTATTGCTTCCATAGCTACAGGTTGGTTCATGTATTACTCAGGGTATTTTCTTAAGAGTCATTTCCTTGCCCTATGTAGCTTCCTAAAACTCTGGGTTTAAAATTCTACCTTATAAATACTTCTCAGAAAAAGTACAAATGGCCAATAAATACATGAAAAAAAAGTTCAACAGGGCCGGGGATTTAGCTCAGTGGTTCCCCTGCCTGCCTCGAAAGCACAAGGACCCGAGTTCAATCCCCGGTACCAAAAAAAAAAAAAAAGTTCAACATCTCTGGCTATTAGAGAAAACTAAATTCAAACAACACTGAGATTCCATCTTACCCTAGAAAGAACGGCTACCATGAAGAAATCAAACAACAAATACTGGAGAAGCTGCGGGGCAAAAAAAGGATCCCTTCTTCACTGCTGGTAGGAATGTAAACTAGTACAACCACTACAGAAATCAGTATGGAGATTCCTCAAAAAACTAAAACTAGAAATTCCATTCAACCCAGCTATTCCCTTCCTTGGTATCTTCCTGAAAGAGTTAAAAGCGATACATGTACACTCATGTTTACAGCAGCACAATTTGTAATAGCTAAATCTTGGAAACAGCCCAGATGCCCATCAACAGGTGAATGGACAAAGAAACTATGGTATGTATACACAATGGAGCACTTCTCTACCATAAAGAAACACAAATTTGAATCATTTGTAGGAAAATGGATGAACCTTGAGACCATAATGTTAAGTGAAGTCAAACACACAAGCTTAAATATCTCATGGTTTTATTTGTTACGAGGAACCGCAGATGTAAATAAAGAACAAAATAAAAGAAAAATAATAGGATACATGGAGACAGAACTTTTGTACAGTGAAAGGGGATGAAAAGATGGGGGAGAGAGGGAAGAAGGGGATGAAAAAGAGAATCAAGATGGGTTATGCATACGTACAACTCCCTACAAGGGATGTAATCATTATGTACTGCAAACATATACTGATACAAAAATTGTAAAAATGAAAATTAAAAATAAATAAATAGGCCTTTTTATTCTCTCCCCTCCCCTTGGTCACAACTCTGGGCCGAGAACGAGAAGCCCCATGGGGATGAGGTGTTTACACACAGCTTTGGCTCAAGAAAAAAAGGCAGTAAACAAACCAATTCCACTTTAGCAAAGCCAGAGTAGAGTCTGACAGGAAGCTAACAGAGCCCGTTAGACATAACCCTTCTCCATTGTTTTAGATTGCTCTTCAGAACAGAAGCTAAAAAGCACATTCACCAGTAGTACTCCCATCCACTCTTTGTCTCAGGGAGGCTCCTGGTGTTGCCTATTTGTGACTGGGTGGTTTCTGTTTCATCTTCTTTTAGACAACAGGCTAAAATGCACATGGAATCCTCCCAGGGAGGCATCTTGAAGGAAGGGTAACTTCCATAGGGTTAGAGGTTTTCCAGTTAAACCTGCCAAAATACAACAAAGCTTCAACCTTCAAGCTTGTTGGAAGTATATTAAATAATGTACACTATACCACATGTAAAAGACCTTTCCAGCAATTCAAAATTCCAATTTTTTTAATACCCACATGAAATAGGGGCAATATTTTAAAATCGGCTGGGCATTAAACCAGCCAGGCAGCCAGCCCCAACACACATCGGTGATGATCTCCACACTTTCCATACCCAGATCTTCCCAGGTTTTTAGCCCTGGTTGAATGTGAGAATTATTTGAAATGAGGTTCTGATCCCAGATCTACTAATCAGCACCCCCAAGCATCTCTTTATATCTACCATGGAGAGGAAGATACCAGACACAGCAGCCCTGGCCAAGGGTTGAGGGTTTCCCCAGGGGTCTTGCCTCTCCCTCCAAGAAGGAACTTCGGTTGTGTTTTAACTGAAAATGCCTCCAGAAGCATTGTCTTTTCATTATTTGATTCAGGAAAAGAACTTGGGTTGGTTAACTAGAAAGTCTTACAAATAGCATTTTCACTTTGTACGTAAAGTTTGAGAAGAGGCAAGTTTGAGCACTGTCAAAGCCCAACCTGAGTCAAGTTTAAAAGACATTGTTGTCTGAGGAAGAAAAACGAAATGGAATATCACTCTGTTCATCTTTTTCAGTGTTCTTCCCACACTGCTAATTGGAGATAAACTCATTTTTTTAAAGGGTAAAGCTTTTTTTTAAAAGCATTTTGGCCCTTGGCAATAATGGCAGAGCTGGCCTTTCTCTTCCCTAAAGCCATCATCCTCATCCAGAGATAATATTTCTAACCTAGCAGCCAGGCCATGGGCTTCAGAGTTATTTATCCATGAGCTCCTGTGGGCCAGTCCTGATACAACATCAGGGTCTCTCTCACATAGTCCCCTGTTGTGACCAAGGATGAACCCTTAAAATGTGGCTGGCCTCCCAGGCTATGGTCACGGAAGAATGGAGAAGTGACCCCAAAGGGTCTAATCCACTGACCTTTACCTTTCTCTAACCAACTGCCCAAATAAATAAAAACAGCAGGGTAGTTAAGCTCCCTAAATGAAATCCAATTTATTTCTAAATATGCAAGCCTGGTTCAATGTTTACAGTTCTCAGGCCATCCAAAGTCTGTCAACTGGCTCTCAACCAGGACAGTTTTGCTCCCCAGGACACATCTGGCAATGCCTGAAGACATTTTTGGTTGTTACAACTAGAGGAGGGGTACTCGGAGCATCTGGGGAGAGGGGTCAGGGATGCTGCTACACAGCCCCCAGTGCACAGCACAGTCCCTGACAACAAAGAAACAGTCCCAAGTTTCAACAGTGCTGAAGTTGAAAAACCACAAATTACAATGAGAATGGGTCATTTTCCAGGCCTCTGCTGAAAACCTTTGAACAGACTCTCATCCCAATTTAATTTGACTTAAAATAAGAATCAAAAACTCAGTGCCTTTGAGTACCAAGGATGTAAAAAATGAAACAACAAGAAAAAAAACTCATAACCTAAGTGACTGTGCATGAGGCATTGGGTATGGTGAGATCTGACACATCAGCGTATAAACGCTCGCTAAAACCATTCCATTCCTAAAAACAATACTGTGCTGGCCAAGCTCTGGTTTAAAGAGAACATCAATTTAAACATAGTGGAATGACCACCAAAAGACACTGTCTGGCCTCCTCTCATATCCCACAGTCCTTCTGGGCTGTTGAGTGAAGAGACAGGGCATCAGATGTGGGGGATCTCAGGTACACCGTGCCCAGGTTGGCCAGGGCTGGAAACTCTGGATGGGAACACACAGTCACCCCTCACCAATCTCCCTTTCAGGGAAACCCAGTGCACATTACAACAATACTACACAAAACCACACATGTGAGGCCATTATTTTAAGATGATACTGTTCTCCTAAAAATTTAGAATTTTTACACAAACAGTAGCTTCTTCTATGTGAATATTCTTATTTCAAAGATGAGAAACAGAGGCCAAGGAAATGTAAAGGAACTGCCTGAACCTAAAATCAACTGGCATTCCTTTTTCCTCTGCATAACTGCAAAGTACCAACCGATAAGTGAAGAGATTCCATTCAAGGTAGCAAACCTTCATGGCTAAACTCTCCACAAAACATAAGCTATACATAAATGTTAAATTTAAACCTATTTGGCATTATTCTTTTGCTCCATCAGAAAAATCATTAACGTGTTGGCCCTAATGCGGTGCTTTAAGATCTCCATCCCACACCACAGAAACGCTAAACACATTAAATACCTCTAGTCCTCCTTCAGGTCAAACTGAGGAGAAGGAAGCCAAATCAGAAAATGGAAACACAAGAAGGAAGCCCAGATATGAGTATCCTTGTGAGTATGCATGCTTTTTGCTGGAGGAATTCCTGGCCTGAAGACATAGTATAAACAAAGGCAAACCAGAGGAAAATGAGTGATAAGATAAATGAAACCCAGCAACTCCCTCAGTCCTCC